AGAGAGAGAGAGAGAGAGAGAGAGAGAGAGAGAGAGACGGAAAACCAATTAAACTTAGAATCACAAACTTTTTAGTAGTAAAAGTAAATGTTCTTTATTTTTCAAAATTTATAATATTGAAATAGTATTCAACTAATAATATATTGAAATAAGGGCAATGAGCCAATTTTCATTAAAATCTTTAAAATCAATCTAATATATTGCGAAGAATATCACGTAATGTTGGCGTTTCGTCCCGGCTTCCACTACTGGACTCATCAGTAAGGTATTGTAATGGAAGCCTACCTTAGACGCCTGTTTTAGTTATTAAGCCTTATCATAAATATTTGAAATCTTATTGCTTAAACTTTATAAAAAATTATCTTGTTCTATTCTTATAAAAATTTATTTACTTTTTTGAACATCAGTAGTTTCTCTATACATACATAAGTAGAGAGATACATATTGACCAAGCAACCAAAAATCACGGAAGTTTAAATTTAATTGGTTTTTCTTCTTGGCTTTTCAATTATTATGTCTGTCGCTGCGGATTACTTCTTCGTTTAACCTCGTTTGATAAATTGAACAATAAGTTGAAAAATGTAATAACCTCGATGTAATTTCAGGTGAACTGCCAGCTGCTGTGCACGACGGGAACGGAGTTTCAAGAGCATTCCTTAATCTTTGGTTGGTTCATCTGACGATGAGCTATGTTTTCACCAGATGACAGTATTAAGGTAAACACAGACCGCAATAAAATACAGAAAGTTATAAAATTTCCACAGTACATTTCTTTTTTGAAAAAAATAACAAACTATGTATATTTTGTATTATAAGTATATATCATATTAGCTTTAGATAATGAAGTGATAGTTTTATTAGTTTTATATAATATATATATGATTATATGTATAAAAAAATTAATTTACAGTACCTAGTGTCAAAATCTTTGAACTTAACAGATTCTTTGATCACTTTCAAGACAATCATTTCGACTTCGGTAAAATTCAAATTTCATAGCACATTAAACTTACATAAGATGCGGATGCAAGCTACTATGCATAAAATTTGACTTACATTAGCTTAAGTTTGTCGATATTAGATTTATGATTCATTTGTAATAGAAATATCTGACATATTTTTAAATATTGATTAATTATTCGTGAAAGAATTAAACATTATTTTCTGCTTTTACCTATGTTTAAGCACTAACTGTGCAAAGGTAAAATCAAAGTATCAGTAAAAGAATGAAAAATGCGGAAAGTTAACTTTTTCATTTAAAATTATCGGTTATAGTGAGAGTGTGATCTCATAAGCTTTAGATGCTAAAAATGGCTCTACAGATTGTTAAATAATTGTTCCCGATAATCCACTGCGGCGAGATTGGCATCGAAATTCGTTTGAAAGTAGTGCATAGCACACAGTGCTATGTTGAAAATCGCCGTGATTAGCTCTCTCTATAAAATTACGATGCCGCATTTATTACGGTCGTTGCAAAGTTTCTTCGTGAATTGAACATTTTCATAATTATTACTACTTTAATGTCAAAAACTACCTTAGGAAGTCTTAGGTAATTATCGGTAATAACGCTTTCCTTGAAAATCTTTGTGTGTATGTGTATGTATGTTAGATGTTTATAATTTCCTTTAATCTAATCGAATTTATTCTCGCGGTTAGTTCCTTCGCATGCTGGACATATTCTTTGCGTCTCACAATACAAGCTGCTTTATTTTTCCTCATCCTCACACTCTTGATTTTTTTCGTGTAGCCGCCTAATCCGAGTTTCAGATGAGTTCTCAGGAAGCTCATCGACTTATAAGAGAAGCCTGTATCAAGCGAGTTTCTGGGTTAACGCGAAATATACATCCCTCTGCAAGAAGAAAAGAAAAGCAGAAGGATCACCGTAGCTTCCTAGCGATATCGAAACCCTTATTCTATACCGAACTAACCGAACGTTATTTTGAATAACTTGAGAAACAGATTCTACTTCAAAAAGATTTAGTTAAAAGAAGAAAGAGATCTTTTTTTCTTGAAAATTTTAAAGTAAAAAATTAAATATATGTATATATATTACTTTTTAAGGCAATTTTTATTAACCACAACTGGCACATTTTGTTGATCACATACTTTTCTACGAAATGTTATGATACAAATTTATAATAATAAATGTTCTAAAACTATGTAATGGTACGAATTGTATAAACAATACAAACATGGTATTTATGTAATTACATTGTTTTGATTACATTGTATACTTAATTTTTATATAAAATAAAATTAAACAGAAAAAATAATTTATCAAAATTTTTTTTTAAACAAATTGACTTGCTTTCTTATACTACAACTTTGATGTCTATTCAGTGATGATATCAAACATATAATATTTATATAGCACATATAGCATGCTAATATACAATTGTACTTTATTTGCTATTTGGTAACTTTTCTAATTCTTTGAAAGTTTTTTAATTGATTACAAAATCTTACCAATTGAGGATCAAGGATATATTAATAAATAGCGTTTCTTATATCAATTTTATTTTGAATATATATATCTGACTAGTTATTAATGAAATTACTTGATAGGATTGCCAGTAGTTATTGGAAATTTGAGTTAAGTAATCGAATATTTTATTAGTTTTTTCTTACATCTCATATGTCTACAAAAAAATGCTAATTTGATTAAAAAGTGATTACCTAGAATATGTCAAAATTCGATAGTACTTTTGAAAAGTATTATTAGGACGGTCAATACAGCATTCTATTAATTTAAATAATTGTATATTTCAATTTTCAATAAATTCTCAAATAAAATGTTTCACGAAATCTCATCTAAAAAATATGTTTTGCTTCATATAATTACAATAGTTGGAAACATGTAAGCTGTTTATTTTGAAAGTTATGTAAATCCGATTAGGAAAGTTGTTTTGAAATACGTCATAACTTTGTATTTCTATGTAATTGCGAAATGTTTTAAAAGCAAACTTTAACCAAGATATTAAAATAAACAGGTCAGATATAATGACCCACTTGAATAAAATTTACACGCACGAATTTACATTTTAATAAGTAATTCTAAATTTTATCTATTTTATCACATATAAGAACTCTAATTAATGTAAAACTTTATAATTTGAACTAACATTTGTTATTAATGATTTTGCCCCGTGTCAAATTTCCAAATTAAATTCTAGATTAAAGTGTAGATTCATCATATTGTAGTAAGGTGTTTTGCAATTATTTCTATTTCATTTCAATATAATAATTATAAATAATAAAGAAGTTTAATTTATTGCGTTAAGAAATAATTGAACGTATTAATTCTTTAATCATACTTCAATTTTAATATTATAAATTTAAATAAGATTGACACATTTGTAATTTGTGTTAAGATTTGTTGAGAAATTATATTTATAATACAATAAAACTCTCCTTTATTCACAAAATTAAATTTTGAAAAATTTAGTGAGCGATTTCTTTAAAATTTGAATTTTGAACACCAAACTTTATATTTTTTATTCATTTATTTTTAATAATTAATATTTAAATATATTTTAGTCAATTTTATAATAATTTATAAATTTTTAAATATTAAGAGTATAATATTAAAAGTGTGTTTGTGTAATTAATATATATATATATATAAAGTCATTTGTTTTAGATAATATTATGTTCCTTATCAACTATTTTAATATACAATTTATTTAAGAAACAGATAATCCACTATATTTTGATTCGAAAATATAATCTATTTTATATAAATTAAGTAAGATAATTAAAAAATAGCTTGATTCTTTTTAAGGGGATCGGAGCTTTTTAATAACGTAACTTATAGAAAATCTTATTTTTTAAGGATTTTCGTGGTCACTAAATTTGATTTTGGCCTCAGAATTCTAAAATTTAAATTTTAAAGAAATAACCTGATTATCATGAAATTTGGTTTAGGAGATTCTCTCTTGGTATCGCACGCTGAGTTTGAATATAGTCTAAAAATATCAAATTTTAAAACAGTAGAAATCAAACCTCTATGAAAAAAGATCACAGTGTTCAGAATCAAAATTTGAAACTCAGTACGAATCAGTATCATCAGCATAGACGAGTTTCAAGTAAAGTAAAACTAGAAACTTGATTGTACTTTGCAATTAAAAATTTTCTAAAACATGAAGTTTTATAATAACTAAATTTAATAACTAGTTTTATAATAACAAAAAAATTATTTGTTTTGAAATTTTGTCCACCATATTAAACCCATCATTTTTGTTTTTGAACTCAGATTTGAATAAAGCATTATTAAATTACCTCATGAACCAAGTTTCATACAAGCGAGTAGTTTATAAAATAAAGAGAGGTGACCTCAAATGAGATTGCTAGTTCACAAAAGGTTAAAAAAAAGATCGACTAATTCTAAACAAACTGAAATTAAGATCTATATTGACTTTTGATTTTACATCTGGGGTTATATGCAACAACCAACCAATTGTTGTAGGAAAACTTTATCGTATTTACAGTTCCCTTTATTGCAATGTGCCACGCAAAACCCTGCAAACTATTTGTTATAAACTATTATTGCTCATATTCACTATACGTGACATCGACATACCGCGTGCATTACCGGACCTCCAGCTGTTATCGTGGGTCGAATGGAGCTTGCGGTATTGCGTACCACGATAATTGCAAGTATTCGCGCGTTCGCCATCGAAGCGGCGGGATCGCGCGACCGCGTCATAAAGTAACGTTCGCGCCAGATCATCCATATCGCGGTTCCCGAATGCGTAACGTGAATTAACCGATATTCATAATTCAAGCTTTTATCGTCATCGCGTCGAGTCCCCTATTGTGAAGATATAATTTCGCGATGAGCTGCGGGAGGAAACGGCGGTGAGGTAACAGGGGTTGGTGGATGTAAAAGGAGGGGAGAGGATGGTTGAATGCTGCGGCATTGCCGTGTGACGGCTCCCGCGGAAACTATAGCTTATATGGTATAGTTTCCATCGCGGTATCTCACCTCTGCGCTTTCATTATCAGCCGCCATAGATCACGGCGTGAGCTCCCGTGACGTCACATCCGTCCATCCCTCATCGCAAAACATCGTTGTTATACCCGGGGCAACACAGAACGAGAGAGGAGTAGTTCCCCCTCCCCTTTCAGCTTTCCCCCCGCTCGCAACCACCTCAACCCCTCTCATCTCGGGTTCCGACCGCTAGGTAACCCACGAAGCGCTCTTGTCTCTGTCACTCTTGGTACGGTTTCGATCGCTCGAGCACCGACAAACCGCCGAATTAAATCCGGTGACATCCTTCACTATCACGAAGTGTGTCTGACGTCGTGTGTAATTCACCGTGTGTGCATATGACGAGAGACGTGATGCCGCACGTGGCTTTCCCGTCGCACCGGGTTACGCACGCGATCTGTAAACCGGGGTTAATACCATCGTCGAGATGGAGTCGTCGTGGAAATGTTGTCACGTATGCACGTTCTCCATATTCTCATTGGAAAACGCGCGGCTAGAATTCGATGCCGCCAGGGAATTTTTCCAGAAGCTCTGTAACATAAAGTTCTGCAGTTTTATTCAATATGATTGGTACTTACTATGCCATGTGACTGCTGTGATTTTATTTAAGCTAGATAATCAGTTTTTTAAAATCAATACGCCAGAATACTAGCAAGTAATATTATTATTATGTGATTTATGTGTACAAAAACGAAAAAACAACGTATGGAGTAATT